CCTTGTTTCGCTGATTGCGTATTTTTAATTATCTGCAATTAGCAAAACGAACCATTTATGTATTAAATATTGTTATTTTCGGCAAATATTTTGTAAATATTGTACGTATAAAACCCATTTCCACTGATTACAGTTTAATTTTCATTATGTGTGTGTTATCCCCGTGCCAATGACTCGTTGAATCTCGAAGGGCCTTTTGAAACTGTTTTTCCATATGTTGGTGTGCATTGCTAATTACGGTGACAAAGGTGCCTTCTGCTGATCACAGTCATTTGAGGGACTGTTCTGAATGAGTTCGATTTTCTCGTTCAGGATTCTTTATTGATATTTCTGGATAGGTGTCAGTCACCCAATGTACATATGCTGTACATCTCGTGGGAACCTGTCTACTTATCAACCTTAGCACAGTTCCTGCCAAGTCACCAAATGTGGAATTGCTATTTATTTTCAGCTGCTGAATAAGTGCCATGGTACAAACAAATAGATCATCAGTTATATACATAAAACGTGGTTTGCACCAAATATTGGTGAATATCTTACAGTTTGATAAGAAACAATACTTTTATCATCATGGAATGTTAGTTCGTGAACTTTTTCGTTGACGAAAACATATATTTAGCCACTTTCACAAATATTCTATCACAAATGGAACCAGCTATATTAGGTTTTACAGGCTTGGTCGCCATCTTGGATTTGAAGGTCACCGCAATAACAGTTTTCGAGCACACCAACAAAGTATGGTATCTCATACCATAGAGGTGCAAATAAACATAGTGAACTTAGATTGTAGGCCGGGTACAATGGGAGTGCCTATTATGTGGGATCAGACCTTCATTTATACTACAATTAAATCTTTTGACCCATGACCCCAATCCACAATTAGTGTTACACTTACATTGGACAACAAGTACAGTAGTACTCTCTCCCTTGCCTGGACTGCCATCATAGACATAATTGAAGGCCCAGCAACTGTACAACCCAGCATCGCTTCGTGCTACGCTATATATGGTAAATTCTTCGGTGGTCTGCTCCACAGCACTATTACGGATCCACTGGAACTCACTGGCAGCAGGATTGGCTTCCGTGATCAATGTACTGCAGTTTATACTCACTGCGTCTCCCTCTTTCACAGTCTTGCTCTCATCCAACGCAACAACTGGAATGTCTAGTAATTATAACAAAGATTCATTTAATAATAAATGGAACAGAAAATACTCTGAATATACTGCACATACAGATATAAACAAGACATTGTATGAATTTGCAATTCAATTTAATAAAGAAATCTTAAAGCACTGCAGTAAAAGGTTTGGAGATCATTTATAAAAACACTGACTCTACATTAAAGTTGTTATAGCTGATTAGGGAAATGAGGTCTGAGCTAACAAGACCTAAATTATTAAGATATCTAAATGATGA